ATAAATACTTAGAGATTCATATATATATATTTGCATGTTTTTATTAAATTTTACATATATTATATTTTTGATATTTATCTGAGAGTACCATTCCACGCCTCTCCTAAAGGTTCGTCACAGCATCTTATCTCAAGCATCAATGGCATGTTGATCCTGGTCCACCTTCTGACTTTGGAATCAGCAAGTGGTCTTTTCTCGCGGTATCGAACGCGCAGGCCAGCATCTTTTTCTCCGTTTGCCTTGTGATCATTTGGGTATGCACTATTGTTTAAGTTTTATGAAACGCTTAGATGCACATATATGTTCATAGAGAGAAATTTGAGGAGCTTTACAACCGTTTTGAACGTATCTCGGTTGAGAGGAATAACATGGGTTATTAATTTGTTGGAGGCACTGGCTACCCGTTGTTTTGAAATTGCTGTGTGAAGTATATTTGTTCTTCTGGATGCAGTATCCATTACCAACTTGCAATATTCATCGCTGAAAAGTGCTTCTTGTATGTTTCCGTGTATGTGTGTTCTTTAGGCTACACATGCCGATCTGCACAATTCTAGTTCTTCTATATGGCGACTGTTAACATCATACATAGATGAAAACAACCTGTTTCATGAAAGCAAACATAATGTTTACGGTAAGGTTTCATAGTTTTACGATTATATGTCTGTACCTCTGTCTCATAATTGTACCTTTTTCCATTAAAAGGATGCTTATACAAAACGTGGATGGGTAATATATAGTGCTGCTCTTGTGCATATATGTGGTGATGCCGAGAGTACATCGTAGCCGCCTCTATTCAGGGCACGGAGTCAATCGTCGCGATTATGTCTTAGCATTAAAAGATATGCGAATCGACTCGCAATTACATTTTCTGGATATCCTTATATCAATTAATCGCCGTATTACTTGCTTTTGACGGTGTAACTCTGTCATCAGATTGCCGCTGCAGTCGATCGGTACGAGGCTTTTATGATGCTCAACCAAACTAGCTTCTACGGGCCATATAATTCAGGTATGATGTTAGGGCCCTAGCATTATGCTCTTGTTTGCGATGCTTTGCGTATAGGGTATTGGGATATACAGAATAAAAAGGATTTGTCATCTAAATCTTAGGTCACTGTTGTTTATGGTGACTACCGGCATCATGCGGAGCCGAGCAGCATGCAAACAAGTCAAACGCGTAAACAGATTATGAATGCTGTTGCATAAATACCTGCAAAGCTATGTGTGTATACACATGCTTGTGTATGAGATTGCATAAGCACATGTGCTATGTATGTCGTGAATTGTACCAATTTCTAGAACTGCTTAATGCATATTGATATAAGATAGGTACGCATATCGATGTGAACTACATCTCCATGCTTGCCAAGTCTTAGGGACTTTCACCACACATAGTTGCTCGGTTCTCATATGTAGCGGCCTTTATCCCACACTGCGGCTATACACAGCCTCTCCCAGCAGGACTATCGGTGGTGGCTATCAAGGTATAGGCTGAATACTCGCATAAAGTTCAAAAGATTCCATACGCTTGAAGGGCCAGGAAAAGGTCAAGAGCAGACAGCATGGTTTCCATACACCGGCTCTGTCCCCCATGCACCGCGTCTTTCGTCGGACTGTTGGCAGAACTGAAGGTCACACCTGACATAGCGTGTGCTGTACAATCGGTTAATGGGAGCAAAATGCACACAACATTCCCTAGCTCGAAGGGCCAGGACAGGATCAAGAGCAGACAACATGATCTCCGTATAAAGGCTCTGTTTTCCTTTCCTGCGGCTATATACGGCCACAGTCAGAAGAGCGCAAGGTAGCAGCTGGCGACGTGCGATGTATGGTCGGGCAACGAAAGCAGTAGATATCATCCCAAAGCAATCAGAGTGCCAGAGCTAAATTTCAACCAGATATGAAAATCATGGGTTTTCATGTTAAACTGTCTTCTAACCGCACGACGGCTGTAGACAGCCACTTTTAGCAATACGAAAAGTGGCGGCCAGAAGTGGGATGATTTAAGAAGTACTGGAAGTAAGATATATGAAACATTCCATGGCCCCTGAAATGCCAGGAATACATCAAGCGATGTGTTCGTATGAATGATGATACCACCGCGAGTTCAGTATAGTTTGAACGTTTCTATAATGGGGATCTTGACCAAACCCCACAGTTTGCATAAAGCTTATGGCATGCATCTACAGGTCTTTATAACAACGTTGCATATGGCTTAGTCGAGTGTGTGTAGCTTGCTCAACTTCTTGGAGGGGATAGCAACTGAGCCGTGATGGTGCTACATGGGAGTCATCCGGCCAGGGAGCTTTAAGGCGAACGTATCACGTATAGACCATATGACAATGGAATACTCTTACAAGATATCCGACAGGTTGTACGATCTGGAATTACTCCTATAGGATATGCGACGATCGTAGGACCACGGGACACCCCATCAGCTGCGTTACATCAAGAAGAGTGATGTATGTCAATGCATGCACGTACGATCACTAAAATCAAGGACAGCCTTAGTTTGCAATTATAATATCACTTTTCTTCTCGATTGACACTTAACTGCGAAAGAGGTGACTGAGTACCTAGCTGCCGTTATCTGCGCAAAAAAATTATTCCAGGCTGTAGCATATCAGGCAGATAAGTAGACAATGTTGTAAAAACATGCGAGGCATGTATAAAAAAATACCAGTCGCCTAGGACCAAGGCTTCGATGCTCTGGTCATCAAAGTAAACTTAATGCTCTGGTTTTATACGGGTATTCCATTCTCAGTAGGCGTAGTCTCACTTGTGCATGGGAAAACCACTAATGCTATAGAATGCGGGACGATGATGAATTTGGATTGGCATATGCCAATCTATTTATTTTTAATATAGAACTAAACAGGGAAAAGAACTTCATTTATTTTCCAAATGTCGTCTAAACCCGCTGTGACGCCAAAGTTGAATACAGATCTGCTACAGGTCATTCCTGTCTTCTCACGCGCGTTGTAAAGCAACCAGCATGCCCCCTGGACATAGAAACGTATGGGGATATGGCAATACGCCTTTCTCCGGGCGATACCCGCATTGAGCATTTCAAGAGCATCTCAACGCTCCTTCAATACTTGCCTGAGTGACTAGCTGCCCGCCCGGGCAATCGCTAGTCTCTGCTCTGGTAAAACGAATGCACCATCAGCGCACTCCAAAGTATCGGTAAGGTAGGTGTACCTCAGAAAATGCTCATCCATTATACGAGTGAGTCTCAAATATGTCCAGCATTCGCGCGCCTCGCTTGCCGAACTCTCTCAACGAAGATTATATATTCATATACATGGGTGAAATACTACACAAATATTCACTATATTCTGTCAACCCCAAATTACTGCTTGGTCTGGTCCGTCTTGTCGGTGTCTGGAACGGGCTCGTAGTGGTTGCCGTTGAACTTCATCGACGGCGGCGCAGCCGCGAGTATCTCGCTTTGCTGGAAGTCATACGCAGGGGGCCCCTCCTGTTCCTCGAACAGCTTGGAATAGTCCAAGGGACTGCTCGCCGCCTGCTTGCGCCTGGCAACGATGACAATCAACACGGCACCCACTGAAACGACCGCAAGGATAATGCCGGCCACGGCGCAGATCCAGAACAGGTCAGATAAGCCGCTGCTTTCACTCTCCCCACTGCTGTGGGAGGCAGAGGTACCCGAGCTTGCACCTGCACCCGTACTGCCACTGTCAGGGCCACATGCGCCCTCGTGCTTCAGCTCAATGAATGACTTATCCCCACACTTGGCGCTTTCTAACTCACACTTGTTGGAGTATGTGTTGCCATCCGTTGCACAAACAGGCGCGTATTCGGCAGTGCAGAAGCTCAGCTCACAGCAATATCCAGGGAACTGCACAGTCAATTCGTCGTTCAACTGGCACGCGCCAATCTCCATCTCGCACACGTTGGAATAAGTCTTGCCGTTGCTCGCACACACGGGTATGAGTATGCGGTTGCAGGGCTTGAGACAGCTGTCCTTCTCCGCCGTCTCCGCGTCAGCTTCGTTAGCCTTTGCGTTGGCACCTTCATCTACCTCGGCCTCACATGGGCCATTATGGGATACGGTGAGTGCCTCGTTGATCTCACAGCCTGATACCTCCATCACGCACTTGTTGGGATATGTTTTTCCGTTGGACGCACACACAGGGCGCAGATTGCGAGGACAGGGGCGTCTGCAGGACTCCTTCGAATCAACAGTAGACTTGCCCTCAGGCTCCTGCATTCAGAAGAAAACAAATCGGAATTTTAGTTTCAATATTCGAGTTCGGCAATTTTGTTCGTGTGACAAATAAATCTATCATCGTGTGCCAGATAGATAGTTTCGCTTCCCGTTGGAATGTGCGAGTCTCTCGGCCAAGGGCAACAACACCCAACTCGAAGACGAGGACTAGTAGAAAACTGCCACTACCACATCAACACGAGAGGCCAAGCACGAGCGAACCACTACGAATTGTATACTTGATATCAAGACAACGGATTGGGTTCATATCGTACTACATATAGTATATTTAATTAACTTAATGATCGAGACAACGGGTTCATATACAAGAAACGGCATACGAATGAGCAAGCTGAAAAATATCACAAGACGATAGGAACATGGGTACACTATTTGTTCTCACTACACAAGCTTAGAGAAGTCCGATGTGCACACCCGTGATCAAGCGAGACATCGATCAAAGCCCTTACAAACGAGGTGCACAAGGGCAACATCTAACTCAAGATACACATATAAAATTCAATCAATAAACACAGCAATGCACTGCGTCGAAACCCTTAACCAAAATTTCGCACGCATACGCTAGAGATTACGAAGGAATAAGTGCAAACATAAGATATATGACAGTAGACGTAACCCCTGGGATACATACTTCATCATTAGGGACGACGGGGCCAAGATTCAAAATTAATATAGTCTCGCACACGCCCTCGCTCTGCACAGTCACCTTAGTACTGCTAATACAATTGGCATTACCCAACTCACATTCGTTGGAATACGTAGCGCCATCAGAGCCACAAACAGGCTTGTAACTCTGAGCGCAAAACTTAAAGCAATCCATATCGATTATGGGTATGGGTTCATCTGCTTTGTTTCCAGTGTTTTCATTCGTTTCTGATTTTGTTCCAGTGACTGGGATAGTTACCACTGTATCTTTGCATTCACCCTCATACAAGACGGTAAAGTGCTCCTGCTTCTCGCACGCCTTGCTTCGCATCACACACTTGTTTGAGTAGGTGTTGCCGTCCGACGCACACACCGGGCGGTAATCCATTGTGCACATCAGCGGACAATCGATAAGATGTTTTACCTTCTTGGCAAAATCATCGACTGTCATTTCTACAGCTTTCTCTACGTCAGGAGCTCCCTCTTTGACCTGATGAGCTATAGTATCACTGACTTCCTTCGCTTTATCGGTAGCTTGGTGGACTGCAGCTTTAATCTTATCAGCAATGTCGTGAATGTCACGCAGTTCTGTCGCGTCACGGTATTCGTGTTCATGACGATGTTCGTGTAAATGATCCGCATGTACACCGTGCACTGATCTCAGCGTGGCCAGCGTGGAGAGCGCTAAGAGTGCGTATGTTGTTTTCATAGTGTTCGTTTCAATTGTTCTTTCTCAATATGCTGCACCTTCAGTCCGTAGTAAGTCCACTCGTAAACTATGCGTGTATACCATCTATACTCTGCACTACTAATCAATATAGGAGCGCGACTTATTAACATGCCCCAGATTCCACTATCTTACACAGAGTTGGACAGGCAACTTCGGTGTTCGGGGTCTATATAGATGGATTATTAATACTTGTTTCTAGAAAAAACCATCTGTAAACCTGGTTTTCAGCTTTTTAAATAAAAAATGGGGTTCTTTTTACTCCTTTTTATTGCAAAAACAAATACAAGAAAAACATTAAAAAACCAAAACCAAAGTTGTACCGACGTATGCACGAGAAAACTCAAAGATAGACTATAAACTAAAGGTTTTCAGTCAAATATAAACCAAGAAGGCTTGGTGCAAATTTCGAATGTAAATATTGTATCTAAATATGTAAATATTTGCATTTCTATGTAAATCAAAAGACGTTGGCGTTTTTAGACAGACTGTCACTGTGACTGTAATTGACATATTATATTGCCTTTTCTAAAAAAAAAATTGTAGTTCAAGGGTTCAGAACGTCAATTGCTTTATGTTCATTGGTGCTGTATAGTGACATTCGTATTTTCTTTATAAAAAACCCACCAGGCGGTCCAGGGATTCCAGAGTCCAGGCCCCTGGTTTACTTGCTGGGGCTGGGGGAGTCTGGGAGCCTGGGTTTAGCCCCCTTTGTGGGACAACGGACGTCGGAGTCTCGGACGGAAGGTCTAATATTGGTTTCGGTTGTTTTCTAAAAAAACCAAAAAACCCCCAAAAAAATAGCACGGCCCTCTGGGTAGGGTCTCGAGCAGAAATCAAGGTTTCTCTCTACAACAATCGAAAATTTAGCAGAGACCCAAATCCAGAGGGCCGTGAAAATAGTACTTAAAATATTCCGCCTTGCTCGTGTTTTCAAGTTGAGTTTTTAGGGTTTGGGTTTTTTTTTTCAAGCGGAAGTGCTTTTTGAGCAGTTGGAATCAGTATCTGGTTGACACGCTCACTATGTACAGTACAGATCAATGTACATATAGACTACTTAGTATTTCAATTTTCAATGGTTTCTTTGCAGTATGATGTTGTTATTGGGATGGAGATTGAGGCCTGTCCTGGTAGTTTTTATTGGACTGCCTTTACTGAAACCCTGTCTGGTATGTAAGACTATTGCACATATCTTCGCTTCACAAGCCAATATGTACCTGTACAATAGCGCAGTACTGAACGGACTATATCCAGATACTGATGTTCAATTCGGAATAAAGACATATTCAATTGTTAAAGTCGTACAGAATTCGCCGTTACACTCTAAGATCAACCGGAATACACACGTTCAATTTGCCGCTACCTTTTGATTCTTCCCATTTTGCTGTGGTACAATACCTCCGTTGGATGAGCACAGAGTATTTTATTGTGCACATCTTACCTTGCTCGACAGTCAGATTTTTTACATAAAATAGTACTATTTAAATCCTAATATGCAGCATATTTACACACTTATAATATGTATGTATATGGATATCTCCTACAATACGAACTTGACGTATTGTACATCTTATGATTGCGTAAAATAGGGTCGTCATTTTCAAAATGAGTATTGTACAAATACTGATACACACAAGCACACGCAAACACAAGCACGCGCATAATTACACACATGCACATATCCACACATGCGCAAACACACACACATACACATATTACACACGTACAAACACACACAACACAAATATTATCTCACACACACACATACACACACACACACACACACACACAGATATATACTATATATATATATATATACTATAGTATATATATACTAATATATATTAGTA